CCCCCCCCACCCATCCCACCTTCCTCTACTGCCTCCAGAAACTTGTTCTCTCCCCATCTTCATCTTCAGCTCCTCCCCTCTGCTTTGTCACACATCCTGTTCCTATTGATTCAGTCCTTATTTACTTTACATGGGTGACAAGCCACTTTCTCCCCTAAGGAGATCAGAACGAAGGGTAGTCAGAGCTAAGGAAAAGGTTCCCTGACAATTAGAAGAGACAGGTGCAAAGCAAGTCATACCAACTCCTCCAGTCCCAGGCTGCAGCGTGCCCAGAATAGACAATATTCACAGAATTTAGTTGCTAAGAAACCAAGCATATATCTGCACTATAGCCACCTACTCCAACTACAGTTTAGAACCAACTATGGTTAGAGAGTTGTGCTAACACAAGGGTCACAGGTTATATCTAGAGGTGCACCAATACAAAAGTCGGTCCAATATCAGATTTGCACAAATGAAAAAAAATTGTCTGTATCGGAAAAAAAACAAAACAAAAAACCGGCCCGATAATTTGGCTGATAAGTGGCCCATGCCTGTGTGCAGCTGCAGTACAGCACATAGGTGGTTAGGAGCATAGCCGGGCAGCTTGGAGAGCTGCGTGCAGCTGGTTAAGTCTGGTGGGGTGGAAGGGAATGGGCCCAGCCAGGACGGGGTGGGCACAGGACAGAGCCACAGCTCTTGTGAGGTACAGGGGGAGGGGGAGCTACTCCCACCACTCATCCAAGAGGACATGGCATGGAGGGGGCGTATACCCCTGGATCTGCACAGGGCGGGGTGGGGCTGGGGCTGTGCGAAGCTCTTCCTGGTGGAGCAAGGCAGGGCTGGGATCAGGGCGGGCTGCAGCCACTGACCCCCAGCACCAGTGCTCCGAGCCCAGCTGCACCCCACTGGGAAGAGCTTGGTGCAGCCCCAGGCCTAGCCCACCCTGTCACAATCTGGGAAGCACGCAAGCCCTCCCCCCCCCAGACAAACTGCAGGATCTGCCAGATGAGCGGATGAGTGCCGGACAAACCACTGAACAAGCAGCACCTGGATAAGCAGTGCACAGCAGCAGGAGCCGGCCCCCCACTTCCCAGCTGTCCTGTGCCTGCCCTGGCTGGGCACCACTTGCCCCAGCCCCATTCCTCCCTCACTATGGAGGCCCCGATCTGCAGATTTCACATGTGCACCTCAGAGCAGACAGCAGGGCAGCGCAGCCCACCTCAAAGTGCATGCGCAGTCGCCACCAGCATGGAGCTGATGCTGGAGCTCTGGAGCCTGGTGCAGCTGTTTGCAGCCTTCCCACTGCAGCTGCCCAGAGCCCAGGCTGGCTACAGACAGCTGTGCCAGGCTCCGGAGCCCACTCACCAGCTCTGTGCCAGGAGCAGGGGAAGAGACTGGGATTGTGCTGCCTCACCCCTCCCCCACTGTCCGCTCTGAGGTGTGCATGCATGCACCGGATGCAGAGCCGATGCTGGGGCTTCGGAGCTGTCTGCAGCCTCCCAGCTGTGGGTAGCTCCTGCCAACCAGTAGCCTGAGTGGTTCCCAGCAGGCAGCTGGGATGCTGCAAGCCCTGCTGAAAGCAGCCTGGGCTCCAGCAGCTATCTAGAGCCGGGGGTAGCTGCTGACAGCCACAGAGCCCAGGCTGGGGGGTAAGGGGCAGCAGGGCATCCTGTCATATACCCCCTGCCCTCTTTTTCTGGCATGCCGGCACTCTGGCACCTTCCAAGGTAGGCATTGTGGTGTTTTCCAGCACTCTGGCCAAAAGACGTTGCTCACCCCTGTTCTATTACATTGAGTGGCCTTCTTCTCAGCTCGTTGGCTCTTAAGCTTTCATGCCCGAACCCATTTTTCAACCTTGTCACCTCAGCTCCACCCCAGATATGCCCCCTTTACCCAACTCTCCTGCCTAGTTCCTTTTTCCTTCCCTTCCCATTTACCTATGCCCAATTCCACAACTTTTTGGTGGATTAACTAGGTTTGCCATCATATTATTCATTCTTCTTTAGATTATCCCTACTGGTCTTATCCACATAAGAAATGAACTAGTCATAAACTTGTTCTGTTCCTAGGATGACAGGAGCCTCATGCCTAGCTGGCACCTCATTGTTGCCATAACAATTATTAGTAGAGGTACAGCATCCAGCTGGTAAGTCTGTTGTGGGGGAAGGGGCAAGGGATGGGGGAAAAGATTAAGGCCCCCATGATGAGAGAAGGAGTGAGGCTGGCACTAGGGCTAGGTTAGGCACTGCACAGCTGGGGCAGAGTAAGTCATGGGATGGAGCCATGGCTCATCCAGGGGATGCAGTGGGAGAAAGGGGAGGCTCCTGCCACTGCACGCACCCTGGGAGGACACAGGGGGTACATGCCCCCTGGATCTGCACATCCAGGGGGCATGCAGGCAGGGGGGGGACCCCCCCCGCCCTTGCCCCAGACCCCCCCCCCCCCAATGACCTCCCAGGCTGCACACAATGGCCACCACCCCCTACACTGCCTGGACAAGCAGCTCATGGGTCCATCCCGTGCCCCGCCCCAGCTGTGCAGTGTCTGCCCCTGCCTCAGGCCCAGCCCCACTCCCTCCCTCATCAAGGGGGCCCTGGTCTGCCCCCCTCCCCCCCAATCCTTCCCCCAAAGGCTTACCAGCCATATGTTGCTCTCCTTGCCATCAGGCTGCGCTCCTGGCCACCTGTGTGCTGCACTGCAGCTGCGCACATGCACATGGCTTTTTTTGATTGATGTGGCCAACTAAATGCCAATTACCAATAATGTCAATTTCCCTTTTATCAGTGCCGATATATGGGACTGATGTATCGGTGCATCTCTAATTATTAGCAATATAAGCAGCACTACTGACTCTGCCTATATATGCCAGTATGAAGACAAAACTATCAGTTGTGCTATTTTCCTCTGAAGCATAACAGAACTGATTCTTTTATAATGTACATGAAACTTAGTTGAATGCCCTTTTCCTTCCCAGACTTCTAAAGCTGCTTGCTATCAAGAATGATCACTATCCTGTCTTATAAATATAAAAAAACTAGTATTACAGTCCCAGAAGAGAACATATTTATATTTCCTGCAAATAAAGATGCACTGTGCATCCCTACCCGAGACTCCTTCTTGGGCTCATCTTGAGGGTAAAGAAGAAGAGGCACATTAGCAAGAAAAGGAGATGCCAGTTCAGAGAAGTCCAGTTCAGGTATCTTGTTGGACTGGAGCTGTTTCTGAAGTTTAATTGCAGCAAGATGCTTCTGGAGGGACTGACACAACGAAAGGGCACTGCACACCACTTCAGGCTTGTCCTGAGAGAACAAGAAAAAAAAAAAAACAAAAAATATACCAGATGAATTAATTTGGCAGCACTCAAATTCTACATGAAGTCCAGGGCAGAAGATGAAGAGGTAACTAACAATCACCTTAGAAATGAACAAAAGGAATTAGATGCACAACAAGAAATTAAATTTTGAACTGTTCTCCATCCTTCTGAAATATAACCATGCCACTAGACTCCTAACAATACCCTACCAACAGCTTAACAGTAATTTGATTGTGAAAGGCATTCTTAACCCAATTTCTATGCTGGAAAAAACTACTCTAAGTAGGGAGAGAGAGCAAGGACAACAGTTCAGAATCAGTTTCAGATTAGAAGGATTCACAGGAATACCATGATTATTACTGTGATTAACTTTTAAAATGTTTTATACAAGAGGAATCTGTAAGACTTTCCCAACGTAATCAAGTGCACATACTACTCCTCTCCAAGAGAAGAAACCCATAGGAATAAGTAAATCAATTTTCATTAAGAACTTCAACACTTTTAGCAATCAACTTACCAACTCTTCCTTGATCATGTCCATGACAACTGGGAGGTAGTCATCCACAACCTCCTTGCACTCAGAAACCAGGTCTGGGTCAGGAAGGAATTCACATGTCTTATCCATGTAAGAGCGGATCTCATCCTAAGTGAGGATGAAGATTACAGGCCTTGTTCAAGCGTGCAAAAGCAAAGAAATCAGTGCTTCCTATTCTTTATGGAGACTATATACAGAGAAAATCCTTGCACTTAGAAAAGGGTCCAGCCAGCCAACAGAACTGGAATGGGATTTTACATTTTCTTCATCCAGTCTGGAATCTGCTTGGAACAGAAAGTCAGTGCTTTCGTTCATACTGCTGCACTAAAAATAAATACATCTTGCACTGCTTGGGCCCCGAGTAAGGCAAGTAAGATAGCTGACAACAACCAGATGAGGGGAAAGCTGGCTACAGAAGTAAAGTTACCAAGAAGGCCCAACTGGCCACACATGACAGGACTTGCACCAGTGTGAGAGCTCTTGGCTTCCAAAAGAAAAAAATTTTTTTACAGGATTAATCAAAAGGTCCTTTAAATAATGTACTAGTTCTATACACTTCAAGTGTATCCCATCTTTGTGGTGGGAAGATAATACTCCATTAGCTCAAAACAGGGCAAATTAATAGGCCTAATGTTAACTAGTGTTCAAGATAACCAAGGGCTATAAAATTCTTTACAATCCTATTCCTAGATGAGGAAAATAGTGTTTTCAGGAGTAAACAATACATTTTGCAACATGTTTTTTCTAACATTAGCTTAGTATATCTTGAGTTTTGCTTAGCTATCACTGCACTGTCCCCTTCCAAAACTATGAAGCCGGCACCCAGTGTCCTTGGGCAAAAAAACTAAACAGATAAAACCAACACATACACAGCTTACCTCTGTGCCATTGTCCTTCAAAACCTTCCCAACTACCATTACAACTTCTTTACACAAGTCGCATGGGATGCTTTTCTGAGGAAAGAAGTGAAAAAGTTACTTGAGTGGGACCTAACTGTTAGTAAGTGCAGTGTGCAAGGGAAAATTGTTCTCTTGGTTCTTTTAAAAGGTAAGGAGACTGACAGCATGTTTTACTTATCTAATATCAAAGTCCAAGGCTGTTACAAATGTATCAAGTTCTAGTTTCTATATTCTCCAATAGAAAACAGATATGTTATTATTTGCTTTCTTTTGTTCTGAACTATAGCAGCAAGATACACCAGTTGACGCCTGCTCAGTCACCTGCAACTGAAAAATATGCCCACCTTAGAACTGGATGCTCCTGAGCTTGTTCCACCTTCCATTTTAAAATATTCAGACACTCTGAATACTTGTTGCTAGCTCTTCTGTTTAGAGTTAAAAAGTTTAAATGAAAAAAAAAATTATTATTTTTAATACCTGCATAGCACAAGAACAGTAAAGAGGATATCAAGAAGATTCAAAGCTGCAGCCCAAGCTATTTAAGACTGAAGAATCCATACAGAGACCTTCGCACAACAACAACAACAACAACAACAACGGAAGCTCACATTAAGTTTATACTGGTTTTAAAGACAGCCTTGATATCCCCTTCCACCTGTAATCCGTAGCCAAAAGAAAAGAGATTGCTTCAGAGGAAACAGGGATGACTAGTTTTTATAAAAGAACACCTTCCCAGTTGTATTTATACACAAATATGTAACATGCTAGGGATCTGAATAGATGCAACAATTATAATAGTATTAAACTATATATCAGAACGGCTCATACTGAAACTGTTTTAGGCTGGTATAGAAGCAGAGAGTTAGGTACAGCTCAAAAATTACTGCAACTTTGAGCCAGTCTAGTTCTGGCTAAATTATGAAAAAAACAAAACAAACAAAAAAAACAACTTTTAAACTCTGCTTATAAAAGTATAGGACAGGACAAACTTATTATGGACTAGAAGAGCTGATGCACACTCCCAAGAAGCTAGTCCAGAGCCATGTCATCTGGCATACAGGTCTCCCCATGGGTCCAAAAATTTGGCAGTGTTAAACTGCCACTCCACTGGTGCCAGATTTCTGGACCTGTGGGAAGCCTGGCAGGCTGTATAATGCAGCCCTGTGCACTAAATCAGTTTTTGGGGCGAGGAAAGGAAGGGAGGGGGCTCCACACCTCTGGCCAAGAGCCCCAGAAGTCCCGCCCCTCCCCATAGAGATTGACAGATGGCCAGGGGGAGCCTATATTGTGAGGACTGGTACTGGACACTGCGCCAGAACCACGAAAAACAGAGGCAGCCTCTGTGACTTAGGTCCCTACCAATCAGCTACTCTCATCTTCCCTTTTAAACCATGCTTAAAAGAATGTCCATCTATAGACTAGCTCATATATTTTTCTTGTATGCAATTCAGAAGTGCAATAATGTCATTATAGAAACAAAAGCTATTATCTCATGCAGAGAAAAAAAATACAGAATATTTATTTGTGAGAAAAGCTGCACAAGTTTCTACAATTACATACAAGTTATTATTTTTCATCCTAATACACTGGCAAACTTCATGTGGCTCAATGAGACTTCTGCAGGGATAATAGATATTGATTTGCTCCTAGAAGCAAAGAAGCAAGTCTCCATAGATCACTGTGGGATGGAGCCAAGATGCTATGCTGCTGACACTGCCCTTACTTTACACAGGGCATGTCTACACATGCCATCAGTGCACATGAATAAACTCCAGAGCCCATTGCTTCAGAGTTTTTTGGTCCTGGGTGCATTGTTTGAATGTATGCCCAGGAGCAATTAACTCCATAGCAATCAGCTCTGGAGTTTATTCATGTGCAGCATATGGAGCCTAGTCAAAGCAGCCTCCTTCCCCAAAAGTACTTATGGGCAGAACTATCATACTGATAGAGTCAAGTTTAGCATTCCTGGTTTCTCCCTTCTAACCAGACTATTGTATGCAAAACAGCTTAGTTGGCCCTTTCTGCACCTATTCCAATTGAATTTTTCTTGGACACAAGTAACCAGAATCACATATAATATTCCACAGAGCTCAGCAGTACTTTTTTTTTTTTTTTTTTTTAACCACACTAGAAATACATCCTAGGATCACATTAGTCATTCTGTCACCCTATGATCTACTAATACAGAGTTCCTTCTCTCTCAGTCATTCCCAACTGCCAAGACAAGCTTGTAGCTAAAGCTCCTGTTATTAGTCCTGAAGTGCTTGACACTGCATTTTGTACTACTGAAGTTCATCTCACTTCTATTATTCCAGTCCTTTCTATGTAATATTCAGGTTCCAGTCTGTATTGACCATTCTGTATCAGATTTCATTATACCCTCGCTTGTTGCACACAGACCATTAATGAAGATAAATCCCCAAACTAGTATTCAAAAAACTCCACTAGCAATGTCCATCCAGCAATACTACCCCTTTCAACACTACCTGTTTCTTCCCTCTATCCAAATTCTTTGTGCAATTTACTACTCTCCTCTACTAATCCCCACCTTCTTCAGCTTTCTAAACATGTTTTCATACCTAATGGCACCAAATGTAATGCCTTACTAAAGATCAGATGGACAAATATCTTCTACAAATCTTCTCTCAATCACATCAGCTCTATTATGAAAGAAGCCATCAAGGGAACAAAATAGAGTCTCCCTTAGATAAATCCCATTTTCCACATTTTATCCAACACCATCAGATCCCTCTCTGTACACGCCGACAGTCAAAGTGCCTCATGTCCACATCCTCACTGTCTGCCCTGACACGACTTGGAGGGAGTGCCTAGTGACAACAACACCAGAGCAAGTCCACCTGGCCTGGTGTACTCTGTACAAGCTACCCATTGCCAAGAGAAATGGCAACCTGCCTTGGCACCTGCTACATGGGGCCATGGGCACTTTTGTTCACTATTTCAACCTAGTGGTATCAGCAGCCTAGATATGAGGACTTATGGAAACCCATCCTTGAATTCTGCTTCCAAGGTTTGTATATTTCTGTTGGAGGTGGTAAAGGGGATTCTTCCATGCCTTCCTGGATTCCCCCAGCTAAACCTGCTCTTTGCTGCCCTCAGCATCCTCTTTGGCATGCTCGATGTATACAGTTTCAGAAGTCCATCTTTTCTATACCATACCAAACAGCCAAAGAGAATGTGATCTGCCTAGCTAATTTCTTGCTGGGCCAGGCTAAGATGGCAACTCTGAAAAGCAACAGAAACTGGCTTGCAGGGGCCAGCTCTGATGGCCATCATTTCTTCCACTTCTTAGTCAAGTCACATCTGAATCGGGACACTTCACCTTGCAACAAAACATGGACCCATTTGCATCTCACTAGGCCATCTGCAAGATGGAAGACAGAGAGCTAGTCTTATATGTGCAATCCCATGAGAGGCATGGGGGAGGGGGGCTCCATTTTTTTTTTTTTTTTTTTTTTTTTGTTACTAACAAGTATCTTATGCTCAGCCCCTGGGAAGGCAACATACCTTTGCATTTTCACTATTTGTTTTTAATATTTGTATAATAAAAAGGTTTAAAAAAAGTCAAGTGCCCCCTGCCTTTAGATAAAAGGAATGGGATAGCATATAGCACTGAAAAGGCGGCACACTTAGGATAACTAAATCTTTCCTACAATAATTCTGAATGGCACTAGAAGAGGGGTGGGTAATTATTTCAGCTGGAGGGCCACTTAAGTTTTGGCAAGCTGTCAAGGGCTGCAGGGGTAGCCCTGCACCTTGACAGGTACTCTGCCTGAGGGACCTTTACCACCAAAAGTTCCTCCCCGTGGCCCTGGAAGTACTCCTTTAGGCAAGGGGGTTTGCCATCTTGGAACAGGGGAGGGGGGCAGGGAAAAATAAATAAATAAATAAAACGTACACAAAATCAGGACAAAAATATTTTTTTGAAATTAATGTGTTTGCATAGTGTATGAAGAGGTGATTGCACAATACCTTAAAATAAAAGTCCATGCCTTGTATATTTTGGTGGGAGGGGTATGGAGGGATGTGGGTTGTTATATATCTATGTGGGGTGTGGGGGAGGGTGACTGGGATGTACGAGGGGGGTACAAGTACATGGTGGGGGTGTGCATGTGTGTCCCCCCCCTCAATTGTGCACAGCCCCTGCCAACTGCAGCAAGGCCTCAGGACACTCAGCATGCAGAGACCCCAGTGGTGCGCAGTCCTAGTGAACCCCAGGACTGAAGTTGGCCAGGATGCTGGCAGGAAGAAGGGCAGAGCCAATCTGGCTCTACAGAGCCCCTGCCAGCCCAGGCTCTGTGCTTCTGCCAGTCCTGGCCCCAAGGCACCAGCCCCACAGTCCCACCAGCCTGCTCACTGCCACTTCCCCTGCTGCTTTCCTCCCTCCGGCCCACCTGCCACTCCAGCAGTGTACTACAGTTCCTGGCTTCATGGCCAGAACTGCAGAACATAGCAAGAGCCAGCCCAGCCCAAGCAGTTCCCAGCTGACCCCTGCTGCCACTGGCCCTGGCCCTGGCCCCAGGGCACTGTACTCCTGCTCACCCACCCACTGCCACTCCCTCCCACCACCTGCTGCCATGCCCGCTACCACTGCTTGCTCCCCCACCACTGGCAGTGCACAGTTCCTGGCTGTGTGGTCAGGACTGCAGAATACAACATATAGAACGGCCAGATCCAGCCTGCCAGGCTATATTTTGCCTGCCCCTACACTAGTATCTATAGAACTGATTCAAAAGCTACTTTCATCACTGAACCCAATAGAAGCTTTATGGATAGTTAGAAACAAATGGAAATACAAACCGATCCTACTGTAGAAGAAAAGCCTTGGCAACACTTACCACTGTAGGCTTACTCCAAACAGTTTGCTGACAGTGTTTCAGAGCTCCACACTGCGATGCAGTCCGCAGATTCTGACACCATACTTCAGGACCTTTCACACAATCCTTCTGCCATAGGAGAGGGCTTGCCACAGCTGCCAAAGAAAAAAAAGTCAATTTTTAAAAATGCACATCTGAAAGGAAGATCTCAAAATAAGTAATCAGAGAGCATGCCTGTGTGTTCAATACTGCACCATAATTACAGTCCATCAAGTTTGGTACCCGTTATAACGGATACAAACTTAATGCACAGGTAATGTGGGGCCTCTGAAGACATGCTAGGAAATCTGGTTGTCGCACCAGACAAGGTTAACCTATTTAATGATTTCTTTGCCTCCATTTTCCTGAGCAGGGACCAGATCAGCCCATCCGCTGGGACCCCCTCAAGCCCCGGGGGAGGTGCACCCAGGCCTAGGGTCAGTGAGGATCTAGTCAGGGAACTTCTGGAGGGAGTTATTTAAGTCAGCTGGTCCTGATGACCTCCACCCCAGAGTGCTGAGGGAATTAGCAGAATTCATTGCAGGACCCCTGGCACCGCCTTACGAGCACTCATGGTGCTCTGGCATGGTGCCAGAGGATTGGAGAAGGGCCAATGTGGTTCCCATTTTCAAAAAAAGGGAGGAAGGAGAACCCAGAAAACTATAGGCCTGTTCGTCTTACCTCAATCCTGGGTAAGCTTTTTGAGAGAATTATCCTGGCGCATGTCCACGAAGGGCCAACAGGGGAGATTATACTTAGGGGTAACCAACATGGGTTCATTAAAGGCAGGTCCTGTCAGACCAACCTGGTGGCCTTCTATGACCAGGTCACAAAATCCTTAGATGCAGAGGTAGCAGTGGACGTAGTCTTTCTGGACTTCAGGAAGGCCTTCGACACTGTCTCACCCCATTCTCATTAAAAAACTAGGGGACTGTGGCATCGACAACTACACAGTCAAATGGGTCACTAACTGGCTGGAGGGCCGCACCCAGAGAGTGGTGGTGGATGGGTCATTTTCAACTTGGAGGGATGTGGGCAGTGGGGTCCCCCAGGGTTCGGTCCTCAAACCCGCGCTGTTCAACATCTTCATCAGTGACTTGGACAAGGGGGTAAAAAGCACCCTATTCAAATTTGCTGACCACACTAAGATGTGGGGGGAAGTGGGCATGCTAGAAGGGAAGAATAGGCTGCAATCGGACCTAGACAGGTTACAGGGGTGGGCAGATGAGAACAGGATAGGTTTCAACACTGACAAGTGCAAGGTGCTGCACCTGGGGAGGAAGAACCAGCAGCATACCTACCTACCTTCTTGTCAGTGTACAGGCAGAAAAGGATCTTGGAATCATTACTGATGCCAAAATGAACATGGGCCAACAGCGTGGGGACGCAGTCAGGAAGGCCAACCACACCTTGTCATGCATCCACAGATGCATCTCAAGCAGGTCCAAGGAGGTGATCCTCCCCCTCTATGCAATACTGGTCAGGCCGCAGTTGGAGTACTGCATCCAGTTCTGGGCACCGCACTTCAGGAGAGATGTGGACAGCACTGAGAGGGTCCAGAGGAGGGCCACCCACATGATCAGGGAGCAGCAGGGCAGGCCGCACGAGGAGAGGCTAAGGGACCTGAACCTGTTCAGCCTCCATTCCAAGCGAAGTGGTGCTGGCTCCTACCCTGAGGGTCTTTAAGAAGAGGTTAGATGAACACCTTGCTGGGGTAATTTGACCCCAGCACTTTTTCCTGCCATGGCAGGGGGTCAGACTTGATGATCTCCTCAGGTCCCTTCTGACCCTACCCACTATGAAATCAGCACTACTATACATTAGTGCAGATAAATGCTTTTTAAGTGACACTAATGCACCTTAGACCAAGTCTACTGCACATTAATGCAGCTGGCAAAAGCCATGCTAATGCACAGATTTAATCTTCTGTGCATTAAGCATCTCATGTAGACATGCCCAGAATACTATCTAATGACATTGCCAGTATTTTAGTCGGCTTTACAATTTCAGCACACTTATCTCTTCACATTTTTGTTTAGGAAACAATGCAGACCATGAGCAGCTGGCACCTGCCCCCCCAGCAGCCAGTGAGCAACCGGGGGGGGGGGGGGGGGGGGGCCCATGGCTAACTGCGTCCACCCGGAAGTGGCAGCAACATGGAGCTGCTACTTCTGGGCTTGCCACTAGCACTTCTGGGCTGGCGTAATCAGCCGCGGGGATCATTTCTCCTGGGTGCTCCTACTCCCTGGCCAGTGCTGTCAGGGGGGTACTAGCGCGCTCACATGCCCCCCCCCCAGCATGGGAATGCTGGGTGTTGGAGGGTGCATGTACACCCCCATTCACTCACTACACATCACCACGGATACAGATTGTAGTCAAGTATGGAGATACACCCCCTGTGCCTCCCAAAATAAAGGGCTAAGAACTCCCCTATGTGTTAGAGCAGACTGGAGTGACACAGTTAAATTTGGATGGATGGGCACTAGGACCTAGCCCCCCACTACTGCTTTTCCCATAAAAGACATAGGAAAACCAACTGCCAGAGCCGCCCCCCCCTCCCCCCAAACACAGACTGCCACCTAACTCCCACATCCATAGGCCAGATCCAGCCTGCAGGCTACAGATTGCCAATCCCTGGTGTAGAATAACTCATTTGTCATCTTGTACTTACCTTACTCACAGTTTAACTAAGTTAGAATTTTGTAATACATTATTTATCCAATTACCCAAGAACAGCAAAACCAAAGAACCCCTGACCTCCTTTGCTTCATTTCAGTTCATCACCCGGTACAGTCGTTAGAGACAAATAGATGACTAAGCTTATGCTTTGACCTCAAGGTTCTCCATCTTTAGAAACCTCAACCAACAAAACACATATTGTAAATCTGCAATACGCCTACAACCTAGATACCCGACACATGGAAAACATTGAATTTTAGTCAATTTTTTTCATTAAATCTTTGTATTTCCCCCCCACAAGCAGGAAGCAACTGTGACCACCTGAAACCTGAGATCCTGCTCCTGCCTTTGTTTCAAGGTAATTTGCATCATTACAGACCCTCACAGGAGGTGAAAGGCTCCATACCAGCTATGAACCGACTGCCCAGCAAAATTTTCCATCTATCAACTCCTCTGTGAAATCCTATGAAATATGAACTTTAATTTCTACCCAGGACGAGATCTTTTCTCCAATGCCTGATGGAAGGGTGTGCGCGCCCAAAAGCTTGCAATTAAAGCAACTTTTTTGCAAAAATCTTGTTGGTTTAAATAAAAGATCTCTACTATGAGTCCTGACTGCCTTTTCCTCTACACCAATACTACTACAACCTAGATACCTGACACATGGTTTAAAATCGCAGTCAGTCCTTCTAATATAGGACTGCTCCTAATCCCAAATGTTTATAAAGGCATTATGGACAGCTGGCGCTTCTAATGAAGAAACATGGTAGAAATGGATCAGGAATGTGTCAGTTCTATGCTGCATATGGCGGTTTATCCAACTTCCTTTAGTGATGGAGACTAAACTGCCACAGAAGAGTAACAGATGTTTAATATTACTGGCCACATTCAGTCCAGTCTCTCTCAACCCTCCAAGTAAATATTTCATGCATTCAACCTTCATGCCTTGATTACAAAATACTCTAAATCCAGGACCCACTACAGCATTGTGGTGAATTTAGATTTAAATTACTATGGACATACAAGAAAGTATTTTGTAAACTGCAGCAGATTTTTAGAATGATTTGTAGGGCATCTTTGTACAATTACTACAACAAAACCCAGTTCTTTCTTACCAAGGTAGTTTGCAGGAAGTTATCAAGTTAAGAATGAGCCTCTCAACTGTGTACTACATCTTTTACTACAAAGAGCACCACTTCTGCAGCCACCTAGAGTTCTTCAGCAGGCCCTTGAAGCCGATTGCTGCGACTCTGCACACCTCAATTACTTTGTAATCCCTACATGTGAGGTAAGAATTCAACCCTGCAAAGCATCTATAGGTGTTACTGTACAGAATTCAGTTTTATGTTTGTAGATTTTCTGCATGCTATGAAATGATACTGGAAGCATAAAAACTGTACTGTGTAAATTGTGCAGAGGAGGAACTAGTTTTGGTCCCCATGTAGCTACCACTGAGTTTCTGACCAGGAGGGAGGCATAGAGTAACTTCATCCCTCATGTCCATAATAGAGACCTGATTTGAGGGTTAAGTTACCAGTCCATGTCTTTTGAAGTATTAGCCAAAGGACAAGTATGAAAGGCTTTAAAGTTAGCAAAATTAGTTTATTATGCTCCTGCATAGTAAAGTCAGTTAATCCTGCTTTCCAATAATGATGCTCTATTAAAGCCAATATGCAACCATATATGGCACATAACAGCAAGACGTCATCCCAAAATGGTTTTTATGAACAATCTGAAGTTGCTTCACTCATTCAAAAGTACAGATTATAAAAGAAGGTGTATAATTTGTTTGAAAGGCTCAAGTAATTTACCAGCCTCCCTGAGGGTAGCATAAATTAATTTATTTCAGCATGTTGTTGTTTGGTTTTTTTTTTAAACCAGGTGTGCCCCCTCCAGAGGCCAGCAGGATGACATTAGTACACAAATCGGTATTTTATGTTTAAGCCTATTAACTTTTTATCTTTTTTCCTTTGACAGTATATGTGGTAGAGTCCTATATTACAAGAGAATGGTTAAAATTGCATCCATCTTAAAGTTACCTTGCTTGCATTGTTTGCATTTGAGCCCTCCCAGAGCCAGATTCTTGGATAAAGACAAGGAACTGCAACTATCAGTAAGCATAAAACATATACAGGCTCTTATAAGGGCAAGGAGGAGTTATAAAACACAATTACCTTTGTCCCAAGGTCCCGAGTTTAAAAACAAAAACAATTCACTGTAATGATGTTTTGGGGAAAAGAATACAAAAAGAAGAAATAAAGATGGGAAAGCAAACCAGCACTTTTTTTAGAATGGCTTTAGCCCGAGTAACAGTGAGCCAGAGGCACCTGTTACTTGCAGAGAGAAGCTGTGGCAGGAATGTCCCCAGGTGTAGGACAGCAGATTTAGCCACAAAACAACAGGCAGCCAGGGCCCACAGGTTACCAGCAGAGACAATCCCAGCGGGATGCAAGGGCCC